GGTAGTGATGGGTAGCCCGTTCTCCGTCGTACTTCTAAAGATAATCATAAATAGAATCTGGTCTTGATTCTGGTATTTTGCAGTGCAATGGCTGCGAGATTTGAAAGCACTCAAGAAGGAATAGAAAAAAATTAAAACTCAAGGAGTTGGTACGCTAAAAAAACTGGCACCTGCTTTGAGTGAAACATTCAAGACTGTTAAATTGTCCAGTCTCAAAAGTCGCGCTGTAGTCTAGCATTTTGAACTTTTTGCAGTGCAAATTCTGCTAAAATTCGAAGGCATTTAAAACAAAAAACTCACTTATTTTTCCAGATGGATGTAAAACTCGATACTCTTTTTTTTGACTGAAAATTTTCTGAGATTTATAATTTCCAGGTTCAGGAATCGCGTTGTTGCTTAGCATTTTGAACCTTTCTTACGTTGCAAATTCTGAAGCACGAAACGCTGAAAACTGAACAAAAGCTGATTTTGTGATGAAGGAATTAAGCTACAAAATTTGGCACCCTTTTGGATTGAATAATTTGAAATTGTTATAATGTTCAATCTTAGAAATCGCATTGTTAACAATCTCTTGCGTACAAATTATACGCACTGATGGCTCTTACCGAAAATGACCCGGTCACCGAAGCAGCCAAGCGCCGAGCCAGAACTGCACTCACACCTGCCCTCGGCTTAATCTGAACGTCCTCTTTGGGCCGTATCAAACCCTCCGGCGGGCTATCCTGGAGTTGACACGTTAATTTAAGAAAACACAGCAATATATCTGTTTTGAAAAAGTACCTCCTTTTGAAGCGATGATGTTTCGCATACGACAAGATCTAGCGATGGTGGAGGTTCATCAAAGTCGGTCAGCGAACCCGATGATTCTTCGCCACCATCATTATACTAAAACGGACTCACCGTACTATTACAGTAACCTTAAATGTAGTACATTACCGCTCAGTAAAAGTGCAAAATTTCCTTGAATGTCACGATTCCACGAAAACCCAAAATTACACGAAATTGCTCGATATTCCGCGAAATTCCCGCAGATGGGGC